ATGTCATAAAGGCTTAGTCATGTCTCTTGACCAAGCAATGAGCTGGTGCCCTGACACATTGTTGGCATCAGCAAACAGTGCTGCAAACAAATCAGACTTGCATACACCCCAATAAAAGGATGGCACATGGAATCTGCAAACAGATCAGTCAATCAACTTCTCGGACACATCCCAAATTTATGCATTGGCATCTCTAGTCTCAACTTCTATGTACAGGCTTTCATCCTCCCAAACCCACCTTTCCACCTGCTCCTCAGTCGCCCATTTCACGTCCTTGCCTCTTGCATCACCCAGGATTATACAGATGGCAAACAGAAGATTCAGATCACCTGTCCAAATTCCCACCAGACAATAAACTTGTGGATGCAATCACACCAAATGGGAAGAAAACAAGTGGTCCAGGATTTTTCATTTGGGACCATCTTCCCTGGCAAACAGAAGATGGAACAGAAACCTTGATAAATTGGCACTTGATCTTGAACAATGGCTCTCAGATAGACACCCCAGATTTGGATACAATACCCAACAATACCCCTCCTGTATATGCAGCCTGAAAATACAAACCTGCTGACAGATGCATGAAGCCTGTCTCAACAACAACACCCGAAAGTGTAAAAATACAGAGATGCTTTCCCTCCGACCCTCTTGCTATGCTTCCCCCACTCCCTGATACCCCACTGACCTTTATCCCCAGAAAACTACTCACTCTGGAACAATTCAAAGAACTGAACATCAACAAATACGGATTCCTTTGGCCTGAAGAAGAAAAACTTGTGGCATGGGTTCTTCATACCCATGAAAAAGTGTTCACTTGGAACAAGCAAGAGATGGGATTATTTTGCAGTGATTACTTTGACCCAGTCCGAATTCCAATGATTGAACATATACCCTGGCAACAGAAGAATATTCCGGTGCCCCCTGCTTTGTTACCAAAGGTCCTGAAAGCATTGCAGGACAAACTAAATGCGGGGATCTATGAGCCCTCTCAGACCTCCTACTGATTCTGTTGGTTTTGCATCCTCAAGAAAGATGGATCACTGCACCTGGTTTTGGATCTGCAACTGTTGAACAGCATGACAATTTGGGACTTAGCCCTTCCACCACTTTCTGAACCCCTCATCAAATCCTATGGCAGATGATCTGTCTATACCCTCTTCAACTTCTCTCAGGGCTTCGAACAACACCTCTTACACCCAGAAAGTCAGGACCTCACCACTTTCCAGTCACTCAAAGGTTCCCTCTGTAGCACCCAAAATCAGATGGGCAGGACAAACAGCATTCAGATCATGCATGAGGATGTCACTTTCCTCCTCTGTGATGAGATCCTCAAATATACCATCCCTTTCATCGATGACATTCCCATTTGTGGACCCCCTACTTGATACAAACTCCCCAATGGTGATTTTGAATGGCATCCCCGAAATAAGGGTATTTGTCATTTTATGTGGGAACACATGGAAACTGTAAATTGGATCCTGACCTGCATCAAACATTCTGGCAGAACATTCAGTGGTCTGAAAATGGTAATTGCAGCTCCTGAAGTCATCATCCTTGGGCAACATTGCACCTATGCAGGCCGACAACCTGAGCCTTCCAAAGTTGCAAAAATACAGGAATGGCAGCTGTGCAAAGCCCTCACAGAAGTTCAAGCATTCCTGGGTACCCTCAGCATCCTCTGAATATTCATCAAGGACTTTGCTATGAAAGCCCATCCCCTAGAACATCTCAAACACAAGGGCACAATATTTGCCTGGGGCCCTGAGCATGGAGCAACCTTCACCCAGCTAAAAGCAGACGCCTGTTGGTGATCTGACCCAAAAGGTGTCCAAAATATTGGTCCAATGGCTGGTGCGTGAGAACTTGCAAGGGAAAGTGGGGAGAGATGGGGAAAATTGGTAGAAAAGCTGGAGTCAGCCCAAAGCTAAGCTGTCAGAAATCAGTTGGTAAATTGGAGCTTGCTGTCCATCTAGTCAAGTGTTGCAATAAGTCAAGTCAAGTATGCTGAGTCAAGTCAAATCTGCCTATCCAGCAAGGGGATAATCGGATCCGTATAATGCTAACAGAAAAGGGGCAGAATAAGCTAGATACAGGAGTTTCTGGAAACTACTTATACTAGCTACCATAAACTGTACTCTATACTAATCCGGTCTCTGGATACCTTTCCTAGGCAGGCATTGGCATGCTGAATATCCATGTGGGTTGATCCTGTTGCAGGGGAAACCCACAGCCGTCATGCTGAATATCCAAGGGATCCCGTTGCCTGGGAAATCATAGTAGTCGCTATGCCAAATATCCAGGGGGGGTCAAGACTCATTGCTGGGGTGCATTGTCCTGCATTGTGAGGGTCCATAGTGCTGCACAACGGTCTCTAAGGCCCAAAAATAACCATGGGAATACTGGCCTGACACACCCCACCAGAGGTGGGGTTGTTCATCAGGATGGTCTCCTCTGTCCCATCAACTATGAAAGTGACCAAAAGATTATCCTTGCAGTGGATTCCTCAAATATCAGTGTTGGATATGTCCTCTATCAAAACAACATAAATGGCAAACAAAAACCAGCCCGCTTTGGATCTTTGGCATGGAACAATGTCAAATCCCGATATTCCCAGCCAAAACTTGAGCTATACAGCTTATACCATGCTCTATGGGCACTACAAGTCTTCCTGATTGGCACACCCCAATTTATTGTTGAAGTGGATGCATCCTGCATCAAAGGGATGTTGAATAATCCAGACCATCAACCTGCTGCAGCCCTAAACAGATGGGTCAGTGGGATACACCAGTTTGACTTCAATCTTGTTCACATCCCCACCGAAAAACACACCAGTCCAGACAGTCTCTCCTGCCATCCCCTGAATTCATTGGATGCTCCGAACCCGCCAGATATTGACCATAAACAAGGCCTGGGACCCTCATATCCTGCCTACCTTCAATCCGCAGTCAAGGACTCCAAGCCCAAAATAGAAATCCCCATGACCTCCTCTGCCTGACACCTTGACGACTGAATTGTGTTTATCCACCAGTACCTCACTGATTTGTTGCTCCCTCTGGACTGGAATACATGGCAGCAAGCAGCCCTTGTTAAGCAGTCTCTCCAGTACTTCCTGCACAACAGCAAACTGTGCCAATGTAACCTCACTGGCTCACCCCAACTATACATCCCTCCTGCCAAATGTCTTGCCCTGCTGAAACAAGCCCATGATGACAGCAGTCACTAAGGCTTCAAGACTGTCACTGGTATCCTCAGTCTCCAATTTTGGTGGCCTGACCTCCAAGCAAATATTGAGTGGTACCTCTGTACCTGCCATGTGTGTCAGATCCATAGCATTCAGAAGGTCCTCAAACCTCCAACAGTTGACTATCCAGCTCTGCTTTTCTCGAAGATCTACTGTGACACCATGAAGATGCCACCTGCAAAAAGATATACCTGTATTGCCCAAGTCCAATGCTCCCTCTCTTTGTATCCCAAGTGGTGTCCCTTAAAATTGGAAACTGCAATGGCCCTTGCATCATTCCTCTTCCACAACATTATCTGCTGCTGGGGAAATATTGTGGAGATTGTAACGGACAATGGATCAGCCTGGGTAGCTGCAGTCAAGGAACTGGCATGATGCTTTGGCATCCGGCACATCTGAATATCACTGTACAACTCTTGCACAAATGGTGCTGTCAAGTTGAAACATTTTATGGTCTGACAAGCAATTCCGAAAGCATGCAGAGATAATATCAAGCAATGGCCTGATAAAGCACCACCTGCATTCTGGGCTGAGCAAATTTCAGTCCAGCACAGCACTGGTCTCTCCCCATATTTCATTGCACATGGTGTTCACCTGGTCTTTCCCATGGACTTTGAGCAAGCCACATTCCTTGTACCCCCACCCAAATTCCCTATGACTGACAGTGACAAGCTGGCCTACAGAATTCAACAGCTTGAGCATCACAAGTCCAATTTATCTGACCTCCAGGAGAAGGTTCACCAAGCCTGCCTGAGAACTGCAGACTGATTTAAAGCAGACCATGAGCACATCCTCACCAATTATGACTTCAAGCCTGGCACCCTAGTCCTCATTTGCAATACTTGGATAGAGAAGGAACTCAACCAAAAATGAAAGCCCCGATTTCTTGGACCTATGGTTGTTGTTACCCATACTGCCCGCTGCAGTTATGTGATTGTTGATTTGGATGGGGCCATCCTCAAAGCCCAAATTGCACAGTTCTGAGTTTATCCCTACCACCAACAATCCAAGCACCCCTTTATCTTTGCCAACATTTTGCAGCAGACATCAGCCAATATCCTCCAAGCTGTGAAAGATGTCTTGTTGACTACTGCTGAGCCCAACCCTGAATAAATCGCATGGGCCTTATACCCACAAGCGCCTTACCTCCTGAAATTGTCCCTCATTTTTTTTTCTCAAGATATATCTATGAAGTCCACAGGTGGACTCAGTAGTATGGCAAGAACATGATCCTTCCTGGAATACCCAAAATCTCTTATGATTCACACAACATTTGAATTACCAATGCAAAAAACATTGAAATCATGACTTGAGGCACCCTGCAATGCATAGGGTGCCAACAAGATGAATTACCACAAATTTTGCTTAAGGCAAAATTTAGATCTACAAGAACATGAAGACAGGACTATGCTATGATTACAACTATGAGACGAAAATATGAAACAGGAAAAAGAAAACAAAAGAGGAAAGGGAAAACTGATTTACTCAGCCAGAGCCCTCCCCAGGAGAGTCTGGACTTGGTCCGCCCAGCCCAATACAGTGTCCACCACTTTCTGCACCATGTCCACCACTTTCTGAGCCATTTGCAGGCTCTTGCAGAGCTCTAGCATCTTGTGCTCCACCATCCAGAGTGGCACAATCAGCAGCTCAATCTCTACAACTTCAGTCAGTGTCACCTGAATATAAACTACAGACAGAAAAGACTTACCAGCCTCCAGAAGGCGGGACTGCTTTGCCAATGGCCCAGACAAGTCCTTGTCATCCTCCTGCTCATGTTTTTTGGGCTTTGCCAGTGCATAGGTGCACACCGGCTTCTGCTTCTTCTTTTTGATGGGCTTTTTGGCAGTCTCCTCAATTGGCTCAGGAGTCTCCAGGCAGAACAGCTCCTCTGCAGGCACTGGAGGCAGAGCCGTGGCTTTCCCAATATGCACCGAAAGAAAGTTAGTAAAGGTCAATAAAAGCAGATGGAAAATGGTGTACCTATATGCGCACTGCAAGGCTTTTTTGCTGCCTTGCATGCGGAGCAAACTGCCTTGTCAGGCACCTCTGCAATGTTGCACTCATGGTGCAGCCACCCATCCTTCAAAACTGCATGCTTGCAGCACAACAAACACTGCCGAAAATGTGTCAGCAAGGTGAAGGATCACAAAAGGCAGGTTTCACTCACACAATTCTCTGCTGCAAATGACTCTAACACTGCATCATCTGTTGTTGCCAGCAACAGCATTGCCAGCATCTCCTCAATCATCCAACCCTGCCAAAGTTCAGTCAGTATAGTTGACAAGACAAGAGAAAAAGCAGCTGACTTACTGCATTACAGGAATCTGCCTTCATCAGCCTCCTGCATGCCCTGGTCACAGGCAGCATCTTATTTGTACAATTGTTGAGGTGCAGCATGACCAACTTTGCCAGCATTGTCCCCTTAGCCTTGGCCTTGGCCTTCTCTGCCTTCACCAAGGGACTGGCCAGGCTCACCATGGACATCTGCAAAATTCAGGTTAGCACTGGCAAGTGACTCACAAGAAAGGCAAACTACTTACCAAAACTCCTGACAACATCATCTTGAACTCCTTCTCATCCTTGTCCTCTTCCTCATCCTCCTTGGGCAGCGCAGACAAGGCAGCCAGCTCCTCTTGCTGGTCAAGGTCAAAAAGTTGGACCCACTTCTCAGGCAAATCACAGATGAGGGTGGACTGGGGACTGTTGAGGAGCAGCACAACCATGTTGCCAAGTGGCTCAATGTCTGAATACTTCACCAATGGCAAAAACCTGGGATCCTTGGCATCTTTGCAATTGCATGCAACAATTGCAGTGGCCATTTTCAGTATGGCAGCATGTTCATCCTTTGGCAGTGCAGGCTTTGTGGCAAACTTGCAGGTGCTGGGTGTCAGGGCACCAGCTCATTGCTTGGTCAAGAGACATGACTAAGCCTTTATGACATGGAAGTAGCTGGTATACCTTGGCATGTGCTGGAACCTGCTGGAAGGATTGGATGGTCAGGTGACCTGCTGTGCATGGCTGTGCATGACCTCATATGACCTCATCCTTGGTCATATGACCTGATCACCTGACTAGGCTGAGTAAGCAAGATGTTCTAGCAGGTTCCACCACAGAGGTATAAATATAAGGCCTACTCTGCCTGGGGACTGTCTCTTCAGACTTGGTCTCTTAGGATCATCCACAGATACCTATACTGTAGATAGGTCTTAGTCATCAGGTCTACTCCACTTCCTTGTTGCCTGCTTAGACTCTTGGCACTCTTAGGTGAGCAGACTTAGTCAGCCTGTGTTGCCCTAACATTCACAAACAGAGGGATTGACAGGGGTGTTATAGAGTGAGTGGGGATCGGCAGCTGACAGGCACATTTGTGTGTGTGTTGTGTGCATGTTTGGAACAATCAAAGCTTTGTGTTTAGAACCTAATGACCTTGGACCATGGGGTTCCTAAGAGATTAGCTCTAAAGAGCTACAGGGGCTATACCTAGGGTTCTATATATGTCTAGGTATGGAAGTAAAAAGGAAGCAAGTCTGTGGCTGACTATACAGCTTGTTTAGGGCAGGCAC